AATGGGGCAAAGCACACACTTTGGAATTACCCCCCCAGGGTGGGGCAGCTGGGACACGAGGACACCAGCTCGGGGAGGTCAGCCCCACGGCCCACGAGTCTGCAGCCCGCAGAGCTGGACGCCACCGGCAGCTGGACTCCACGGGAGCGCACCGAGAGCCTGGGGCGTGCGGGCTGAGCACCAGCACGGCCCCAGCATGGCCCCAGCGTGGCGTCTGAATGGGGACAAGGTTGCCCAGAGTTCAGGAGGAGCTACGAAAATACCAAGTCAAGTCGACCTTTATTAGGACATTCTGTTATTGAAAACCACCCACTTCCTTTCTTAACACGCTTTCTCTTCTGCGTCAGTGCAAGGCCAGCAGCTGTGAAAAAGAGACCCCAGACCACAGTGGTTTAACACATGGAAAGTGTCTTTATCACGCAATAGTCTAGCGCTCAGTGGAACAGGTCTTAGGGACTGAAATTTGGGGATTGAGATTCCTACTACCTTGTCGGTCCATGACCTGCGAGGGCCGCGTCTTGGTTTGCACGGTCCGACTCCGACGTGCCGCGCGCAGATTCCAGCCCGCGGGAAGTGAGGACGGGGGCCGGCTGCAGAGGAGCCGCAGACCCCGGGGCAGCGGACGGTCCCGAACGCAAGGAGCAGACAGCACAGGCCTCGGCGCCTTTGGAGACCCCCACCTGCCATCGGGACTACTTTAACTCAAGAAAATCTGCATTTTCTTAAAATATAGTTAGAGATTATGTACTATTTTTCATAACTCTGAGCGCAGAACCCCTCATGTCATCCATTAGCACCCGGGGGGGCTCAGACATTCCGCACTCTGAAGTTGTTTCATGAAGTTGTCATGCACAGAGCTGCGGGCTTCCCTGCGCTGGCTTCCATTCACTGCGTTTCAGTTCTCTTCCTCGCCGAAGCAGTAGACATCACTCAGCAGGAGGGAGAGGGGCGGAAAAAAACCCGAGCTAAGCTTCAGTTTGAATATACATTACTGCAAAATCAACACACTGATGTATACAAATGTGCTAAGAAAGGAGGAGACCGGGAGTGGGTCTAGGTGGGTGTGTGGCTTGGGGAGGAAGAGAGGTGAGTTGACATCTAAGTCTTGTCATCAGTGCAACTTTGTGACTCAGTTTCATTGAAAGATGTCAGACAGATTGACAGATTCATACTGTGTCTCCTTTCTGTGATTTGTGAGATTTACAAAAGCTGAATCAGGCCAAAAATAGATACTGTACTCCAAGATTCGATAGACAGGGCTGGTTGTACACAAGCCCAATTCTCCCTTTTCCCATCATAACTTATAGCTGGGTACTGATTCACAGCTGGCCGGTATTTCCCAAGCTCCCAGCAGTTTGGTACGGCACTGGGACTAACTTCTCTCCACGTGTGCAGAAACATGTGTGCCCACTGTACACGTGTGGTCAATATACAACTTGAGATTCTCATAGATGTATTTCGATCACTTACACCATTTCTGTCATTATAACATGAATATTTGAGAATTGACTAATCTCCACTTTATGTACACAGGGCACTTTTGTCTAATCCTCATCTATCTGCATCTCTGATTTATCCAGACCCCTCCAAAAAGACCCTTCCTTTTCCCATAAGCTGTTTCATTACAGAAGAATATTTCTGATTCTTTGTCCTAATCCTGTTTTGTGTTGTTCTAATTATAATTGTGTGTATTCTAATCTTATCTCTATCACAGCTACTAGATGAAATATCTTGAAGGGACGGACAAACTTACAACCTTTTATCACTAGGAATAAGCCTTGTTCACTGTTGATACTCAATGAATGTATACTGATAAAATCATAATTTATAAAGCAAAATGTCTCCCTTACTCGGCTTGTCAAGTCCCTTTTCACTCATACGAAGAGGCTAAAGATGTTTTAGAGAACTCCCAGATTTCCACACAGTTGTCTTTTGTTAAACCCCATCTAATCTGCACATGCAATACAGAGCTGCGTTCCCGGCGATATTCCGTCATGCAACAGAAATTCCTAAGAAGTCACCCTGGAAATCCAGGAGTTTAGGGTTTGGAAGGAGTAGCTTTAGTTGATGAATTAACAAACTTTTAAGCTTTTTGAACTCAACCGTCTGTTCCTTTCTAAATGATTTTTTTTGGGGTGAGGATTTCTTCTTCCCCGCAGGAAGGCACTGCCTCGCATCTTCGCTGCTGTTTAAAGCACAGTGGTGCTCCAGCAGTTCATTCTTCACATTGCACAGAAGCTTCAGATGCTTTCCTTAGGTTCATTAATCATAAAGGAATGAGAAGCCCTTGAAGAAGCCCACCTGGCCTCTCCTTTTTCGGTCCTTCCATGACCCTGATGGCTCAGCATTTGTGTACTTTTCTGCCTGTGCTTGGGAACTTGTGCATTGGTAGAGAGAATGTTTTTTTTAGTTGGGGTCGTCGGAAATCACCCAGAGTAACAATGTAGGGGAGCCGTGTAACTGCTGCCGCCGCCTGGGGCTAAGTAGAAAGAACAGAGCAGTGAACTCATTAGAATGTCCTTGTGAAACATCACAAGCTTGGGGCCTCTCAATAGTCCCTGCTCAATACTGTGAGGTAATTCTGGGTTCTGATTCTAGTTCTGACACTGACCTTGGTCAAGTTACTTACCTCTCAGAAATTCAGTTTCTCCAAAATACCATCTCTTTAATAATGGCTGTGTCGGAGAGCACTTTGTAGCTGAGACAGTGAACCACGAGCAGCTCGCGTCTTGTTTTGGGTCCTCCCAGAAGCCGCCTCAAGGCAAGGACTCAGGCGGAAGCAGTGTGTCTGGGAAGCTCAGAGAAGATGGAGAAAGTGGTGGAGTGACAGGGAGGCGACCAGCAGGAAGTACCCGAGTAAGCCAGCTACCGCAGAGGGCACCTGGAGCTTCATTCTGTAGGGAAACTTGGGGAGAATGGGGCAAAGCACACACTTTGGAATTACCCCCCCAGGGTGGGGCAGCTGGGACACGAGGACACCAGCTCGGGGAGGTCAGCCCCACGGCCCACGAGTCTGCAGCCCGCAGAGCTGGACACCGCCGGCAGCTGGACTCCACGGGAGCGCACCGAGAGCCTGGGGCGTGCGGGCTGAGCACCAGCACGGCCCCAGCATGGCCCCAGCGTGGCGTCTGAATGGGGACAAGGTTGCCCAGGGTTCAGGAGGAGCTACGAAAATACCAAGTCAAGTCGACCTTCATTAGGACATTCTGTTATTGAAAACCACCCACTTCCTTTCTTAACACGCTTTCTCTTTTGCGTCAGTGCAAGGCCAGCAGCTGTGAAAAAGAGACCCCAGACCACAGTGGTTTAACACATGGAAAGTGTCTTTATCACGCAATAGTCTAGCGCTCAGTGGAACAGGTCTTAGGGACTGAAATTTGGGGATTGAGATTCCTACTACCTTGTCGGTCCATGACCTGCGAGGGCCGCGTCTTGGTTTGCACGGTCCGACTCCGACGTGCCGCGCGCAGATTCCAGCCCGCGGGAAGTGAGGACGGGGGCCGGCTGCAGAGGAGCCGCAGACCCCGGGGCAGCGGACGGTCCCGAACGCAAGGAGCAGACAGCACAGGCCTCGGCGCCTTTGGAGACCCCCACCTGCCATCGGGACTACTTTAACTCAAGAAAATCTGCATTTTCTTAAAATATAGTTAGAGATTATGTACTATTTTTCATAACTCTGAGCGCAGAACCCCTCATGTCATCCATTAGCACCCGGGGGGGCTCAGACATTCCGCACTCTGAAGTTGTTTCATGAAGTTGTCATGCACAGAGCTGCGGGCTTCCCTGCGCTGGCTTCCATTCACTGCGTTTCAGTTCTCTTCCTCGCCGAAGCAGTAGACATCACTCAGCAGGAGGGAGAGGGGCGGAAAAAAACCCGAGCTAAGCTTCAGTTTGAATATACATTACTGCAAAATCAACACACTGATGTATACAAATGTGCTAAGAAAGGAGGAGACCGGGAGTGGGTCTAGGTGGGTGTGTGGCTTGGGGAGGAAGAGAGGTGAGTTGACATCTAAGTCTTGTCATCAGTGCAACTTTGTGACTCAGTTTCATTGAAAGATGTCAGACAGATTGACAGATTCATACTGTGTCTCCTTTCTGTGATTTGTGAGATTTACAAAAGCTGAATCAGGCCAAAAATAGATACTGTACTCCAAGATTCGATAGACAGGGCTGGTTGTACACAAGCCCAATTCTCCCTTTTCCCATCATAACTTATAGCTGGGTACTGATTCACAGCTGGCCGGTATTTCCCAAGCTCCCAGCAGTTTGGTACGGCACTGGGACTAACTTCTCTCCACGTGTGCAGAAACATGTGTGCCCACTGTACACGTGTGGTCAATATACAACTTGAGATTCTCATAGATGTATTTCGATCACTTACACCATTTCTGTCATTATAACATGAATATTTGAGAATTGACTAATCTCCACTTTATGTACACAGGGCACTTTTGTCTAATCCTCATCTATCTGCATCTCTGATTTATCCAGACCCCTCCAAAAAGACCCTTCCTTTTCCCATAAGCTGTTTCATTACAGAAGAATATTTCTGATTCTTTGTCCTAATCCTGTTTTGTGTTGTTCTAATTATAATTGTGTGTATTCTAATCTTATCTCTATCACAGCTACTAGATGAAATATCTTGAAGGGACGGACAAACTTACAACCTTTTATCACTAGGAATAAGCCTTGTTCACTGTTGATACTCAATGAATGTATACTGATAAAATCATAATTTATAAAGCAAAATGTCTCCCTTACTCGGCTTGTCAAGTCCCTTTTCACTCATACGAAGAGGCTAAAGATGTTTTAGAGAACTCCCAGATTTCCACACAGTTGTCTTTTGTTAAACCCCATCTAATCTGCACATGCAATACAGAGCTGCGTTCCCGGCGATATTCCGTCATGCAACAGAAATTCCTAAGAAGTCACCCTGGAAATCCAGGAGTTTAGGGTTTGGAAGGAGTAGCTTTAGTTAATGAATTAACAAACTTTTAAGCTTTTTGAACTCAACCGTCTGTTCCTTTCTAAATGATTTTTTTTGGGGTGAGGATTTCTTCTTCCCCGCAGGAAGGCACTGCCTCGCATCTTCGCTGCTGTTTAAAGCACAGTGGTGCTCCAGCAGTTCATTCTTCACATTGCACAGAAGCTTCAGATGCTTTCCTTAGGTTCATTAATCATAAAGGAATGAGAAGCCCTTGAAGAAGCCCACCTGGCCTCTCCTTTTTCGGTCCTTCCATGACCCTGATGGCTCAGCATTTGTGTACTTTTCTGCCTGTGCTTGGAAACTTGTGCATTGGTAGAGAGAATGTTTTTTTTAGTTGGGGTCGTCGGAAATCACCCAGAGTAACAATGTAGGGGAGCCGTGTAACTGCTGCCGCCGCCTGGGGCTAAGTAGAAAGAACAGAGCAGTGAACTCATTAGAATGTCCTTGTGAAACATCACAAGCTTGGGGCCTCTCAATAGTCCCTGCTCAATACTGGGAACCATTTAATGCACTTTAAAACATTAAGACTGCAGTTTAGGTTAGAGATACTTAAATGAGTAGGCAAAGCCTAAGTGGAAACCTGATATATCACAGTTTGGGGCCTTTCAAAGATAAAGTCACAGAGCTATGGCATACTCAGACCAGGACCTCAGGTCTAAAATCGGATGGACCTTGACCTCTGAAGATCTGATTGTGATGGAGTATCTTACAAGGGCATCGGTTTATTCAGTTTATCAAGTCTGTGTTAAGAATCTTAATGTTGAATGACATTAAATACTTCTCACTATGAGAATGAGCCGTCTTCTATATGTTGATGATTTTATTTTGCAAGCATTAAACTAATGCATTTACTTCCATTTCCTCCTTTAAGTCATTTATCATTCAGTCTTCTACTCCTGAATTGAGTCTCGAGGCCTAGAGGTCCAGGACACCAGGGCAGCACTGGACTCTTTACCAGGACAGCGGGGTTGAGAGCACTGCTATGTGGATTTGAAAGGTGTTTTTTCCCCCAGTTTCTTTTAGTTTTGATTTAACTTATCCAAGGGAAAGTCTGGAAAACTTGGGTCACTGACTTTTCCCCTAATGAAGGGAAGATACCCGCCTTCCCTGCGGCATTAGGGCCGTGTCCTTCTCGGGGCTTTCCTGGAAGAGGAGGGGGCGTGTCACATAGTTGTGTGGGAGGCTTGCTTCCATTCAGGGCCTGAGAGAGATCGCCTGTTCGGCTGACCCAGACCTGCATGTGCGACTCAGCCCCCCGAATCCGGCTCTGCCGTGGGGCAAGGGGGGCCGTTGGAGCTGAGCTTCCCTCGATGCCCCGCCCTGTGTCGCAGAAACAAGGCTGAGGGGTTCTTGAAGCTTCTGGGAGGGGATCTTGCAAAGCAGCTGAACCGGGAGCCAGGGGGCTTGCTCCGTGTCCAGTCTGCCTGTCCAGCTCACCCGCTGCTCCAGTGTGATGGTGACGTGCCTTCCTGTCGCCTCGCACATCGCTCAGTTTGGACTGTGGTCATCGTCAGCCTGGCCAGGGAGCCTCCTGAGGGGAGCGTGGAGCCGAGGCAGAGGCCACAGCGGGCTGTGGGGCCAGATGGCTGGACACGAGAAACGTCGCCGAGTGGGGGCCCCACAGCGCTGACGTGGGGCTCCATTAGCCAGGGACGCTGCGCCGAGTCAGCTAAGAGGCCAGGCCGGGGTGCTCCTGTGCCCAGTCCTGAGTGCTGGCAGGTCGAGCAGCATCCAGGTGGGCCTGGACATCAAGCCTAAGACCGGGAAGCTTCAGTGGGGCTCTGTCCACACGTGAACCACAGCCTTCCTCGTGCATCAGACACCGCCTTGGTATGTGCGCACGCATGGGGACACACGCGTGGGGCAGAAGGCTGAGGGATGTGCGCCTCTTTCCTAGGCAGCTCAGACCCTCACCCGAAGGGCTGTCTCAGTCACTGAAAGGAGCTGAGGTTTATGCCGCCTGGAAACCTTAATCCCCCGCCCCCGACCAGCTGACGGGGCTGTGAGCGAGCTCAGAGTTTCAGCCAAATAAAAGGCGTTCCATTTTTCTTGGCATGTCTGAGTTGCCGTATGCAGGTAAATTTGTGACCTTTCTAAGTGTGCATAAAAGCATTCTTTTTTTAAGTTTCTATATCTTCATTATTATTTAAACATTTTTTATTGAAGTACAGTTGATACACAGTATCATATTGGTTTCAGGTACAGCACAGTGATTCTGCAGTTATCTTCAGTGTTAAATGCTCACCCCAGAAAGGTAGTCACCACCTTCAACACAGAAGGATGTTACAATATTATTAACTACACTCTCTACGCTGTTCTTTCATTTCTGTGACGGATTTATATTATATTTGAGATTTTGCGCCTCTTTATCCCCTTTACCTGCTTCACCCATAAGGCGATCTTACATACTGATTAGACAAATGGCCAGCGGAGTCAGTCAGGGTGCCTGGGCCCAGATCCCAGTTCTGTGCGATCTTGTACTGGTACCGAACTCCCCTGAGTTTCTGTTTTTCCATGCATAGGATGGGGATGATGATATCACGTGCTCCAGGTAGTCCTGTAAGCCCTGAGCGAGATGTGTGCGCCGGGCACGTGATACGCCCTCGGCGAGTCAGCTGTCTGCCACTCTCATGGGTACGGCCTCCTGCCTTACAAGCGCCATGACTTCTAAGTACATGTATTTGCGTCACTCCTGTTTCTCCCGGTAGGATTCGTGCTCCTTCAGGGAGTTCTTTTCACCGAGCTCCGTGGTTCCTTACAGTCGTGTTCCTCACGGCGAGCGCTAAGCTCTCCGTGTACTGGGGACTATCGGTAAGTGTCCCTTTTGCTGTTGACCTGAGAAGTCTCAAGTTACTCATAATAGAGCATAAGTTGGTTTTCATTCTGTCACCTGTCAGCAAATACTGTATTTTCTGCTTCCAAACACGCTTGAAATCCATTTACTTCTCTGCACTTCCACTGACACGACCCTATCTCAAGCCACTATTACCTCGCACCCAGATTCTTACAATAGCCTAATTTGTGGCCTCTTTTCCTCCTGGGCCCTATTGTCCTCTCCAAGCCATATTTTCACAGGATGGAGTATATGTAAATTAGATCATACCATTCCCTTGCTTAAAATATTTTACGAGCTATTCTTGTCTTAGAATAAAGTTCAGCTTTTTTTAAAAAAAAGCCTACCTAATAAAGGCCTAAATTAGGAGCCGTAAATTCAAACTCCCAGAGAGGCCAAATCGGCAACATACATGAATGAGCAAACGTCGGACGGTGGCATGTGTGCGGCCACAGGCTCGTCTCAGGGAGGGGATCCAGCTAATGGTCTCCACGTATGAAAGGGGATCCACTGCTGATGGAGCTTTTGGATTTTTTGAAAATCCAGGAATTATTATGTGATATCTCCTTATTTTCAAATTTTGGCAGCTACTTTGAGAAAGCACACACACAGCTGCGGCCCAGACGCAGTCCCGAGGCCTCCGTCCTGCCTGATCGGCTCCTCAGGGGCTCCCCAGACCTCCCTCCCCCCTCCCCTCGAAGGGCCTGTGCTCTGTGCCCGCCAGAGGCTCTGGCAGCCGGCCCACTTCCCCGGCCACTCTTCCCTCAGCAGCTGGCCTCGCCTTCAGATCCTTCAGGCCTCGGTTTAGAACGGCCATTCCTCCAACGGCCTCTTACAAGTGTCCGTAACTTAGCTCAGGTCGCCTAGAAAGCAGATTCTGGGGCGAGGACCGTGCATGAAACCTCACCTGCTGGGCCTGACCTGGGCTGTGGTATTGGGAGAAGGGAGGAGGGGTGGGGGTGTTGCAAGGGGGGGCGTTGCAGTGCCAGCCACTGCTCCCCCACAAGCCCCCGGAGACCTAGTGGGTCCCAAGGGCGCACTGTGTGGGTAAACACTTGCTTCTGTCGGGTGTTCTGTGGAGATTGCCCATCTGGGGCGGTTTGTGTTCCCACCTTGGGCTGGAGACTCTCAGCCAGCATGAGCAGTGTACGTTTGCTCAGCAGGCCTCCTGAACTTGCTCTGTGGGAATGAACTCTTAGCAGGGGCTATTTTTTCCCTCATCCAGAGCCAGGCCAGGATGGATAAGCTTCCTTCTTATTTTCCTATGTCTGTACATGGTTGTTGTTTTAAAGTCTAAGGGTCTCAGATCTATGCAGGGTCTCAGTTCTTGCTCCAAATCTCCGGGGCCTGGGGCTTCACGACCTACCTATTCCCGTGCAGCCTGGATGTACTTGTTTCTGAGGCTAACAGTCCCCACGCCCTACGCCCCAGGGCTGCCTCTCAGTCCGTGCTCACTGCTCTGGTGTGCAGTTCCTGATTGCTTTGGCACCTTAGAGGTTCCCCATAGCTTCTTTCATTCTCTGCTAGGTTTCCAAAAGAATGTGATATTTAAGCCAGCAATCCTAGGCATTGTGTTGTGAGGAGATTTTCAGGATTTTTAGAATATAGTCCAATATTTCTGGGAACAGAAGTAAATCACACACTGAAATTGTACATTTGCTAGTTTAATGTCTGCCTGTCTCCCCTGAGCGACTGTGCCACACGGGGGGTTTGGTCCAGAACTGGCCCTCGCTTGGAGGGATGAGCCTGGTAACAGGAACGCGGAATTGGAGCTGTGACTCTGCTCTGAGCCCCCAAGACCAGTGACGTTGTCTTTCCGGAGAACTTAGTATAGTTTCAGGAGTAGAGAGGGTATTTTCTGCAAGTATTTGGTGGTTAGTTCTTATGTGAAAAAGAATTATAGAAGGAATGACCAAATCTGGTTATTTTAAGAATGTTCAGATGGATATCTACAGTATTGTTTTTCAAAATTTTCCGTGATCCCTGAAGCTATTAGTCATTTTCCCTCCCTATATTTCCTACGTCTCCTCGAGTCACCCATTCTGCCGTGTTATCTGCGCATCTTTGTTGCTGCTCTGAGTCTCGCCGGCAGTTCTTGTGAGAATCATTATTTCTTGACCGTCTGGTGCGCGCAGGGCCTTTCAGCCTCGGCTCTTGGCCTCTGGCTGGTGACTCCTCGCAGGAGGCGGCTGTGCTGGACACTACCGGGAGGTTAACAGTGGCCCTGGCCTCTACGCACTGGATGCCAGGAGCGCCCCTCCATTGTGACAGCCAGACAGGTCTCCAGATATTGCGCTCCCCATCTGGTTATCACATCTATCCTAGAGCATTTTGATTGGATCCCACGAAGGCAGACATAGGATTTGTGTTTTCTGGAAGAAACTGATCTGGAGTTTGACTCTCTTCGCAGGTCCGAACAGGCCCGGGGGAGCTACGCCCCTGCCACTGCTCACCGTCAGCTCCCTCCTCAATGCCTGTCCTGCCGCCCTCATCTGCGCGTAGTCATTTGCCGACAAATGCTGGCAGTCAGACTTGATGCTGGCGCACGGGCTTCACAGAGGACAGGATTTCCAAGCGGGCGCAGAGGGTTCGAATGCTCCTTGTTGGTACAGATGAGCAAAATTTGGCCTAGTAAATACCTATTTCTTTCTTCCTTAGCAACGCTACAACTAGTTTAATGAACAATTTTTCTCAAAAAAGAAACATTCCTGTTTTCCTATTTTTACATGTTTTAAAGTGTTTTTAATAGTTGAGAATTAGGTCTAAAAACCTAAGCAATAATTTATGTTTCCTAAAAAAGATGTTCATGTTAGAAACAAAGCTTACAACAAGCAACACATTTTAATAATAAAATCAATTTTAGTTAATGAAACCTGACGGCAGGGGGCCCGGACAGCACTTACCCTCTCCTTGGTGTCGCGCCGCGGTCCCGCTCTTCCGGCCCAGGCTGCACGTCCATGTCCTGTGGCTGCCAGCTGTGCTGCTGGTGGTGGCGGTGGAGGGTGCGGCGTGTAGATCAAATCCCATTATCTCCACTTGGCAATTGAAGAAATAGGCTCATAGGTGTTAATTCATCTTTTAAAATTGTCTCTCTAGTTGAGGTCAAAGTCTTCTTTTTGCCTGGTCTCTTCCTATCATAAAACACAGTGATACCACATCCTAGATACTGTGGGGAAGTGCAGAAGTGTGCACAGGGATGGTGCCTACCGTCCCCGCTGCAGCACAGTGGCTGGAATCCTTCCTTGGGGAGCCCTGCAAGTGGAAACCTGCTGGCATCACAGAGAATGTCCTGGTAGCACCCAAACACAATTACGGCTCAAAGGGAAAATCTCACGGGAGAAAGTTACAGAAGCGAATGCAGTGATGTAGTGTTATAAAGAATTAAGACATTTGTAAGGATAAAAGTAGAAAAATAGAGGAAAGCATAACCACTGTAGTTTGTTTTGAAGACTCATGAGAATATGACCCTTTTTCTTTTTCCTGTGAGCAAATAAGGGGAAATCAGTGGACACCATCAGCAGACCAAAAAGGCAGCCTACAGTAAGGGAGAATATATTGATAAATGATCCATCCGATAAATGGTTAACAGCCAAAATATATAAAGAGCTCATACACCTCAACACCAAAAAAAGAAATACCTCAGTTAAAAAATGGGCGGAGGACCTGAACAGATACTTTTCCTAAGAAGAAATACAGATGGCCAACAGGCACATGAAAAGATGCTCCACATCAGGAAAATGAAAGTCAAACCACAGTGAGATGTCACCTCACACCAGTCAGAGTGGCCAACATCCGAAAGACGAGAAATAACAAGTGTTGGCGAGGACGTGGAGATATTTCATCGTTTCAAAGCATTTTCTGTCCCTGGTGATTGTTCTGGCCCTCCCAGGAGGTGAACTGTCAGTCCATTTACATGAGAAGGAAGTAAAGAATGCAAGTATCAAGCATATGAAAGCCTGCTCAGCTGCAAAACGGGTGCCGGGTCTAAGTGTTGCTGAGCGTTTCTCCCCTGTTGCACGTGTGGTGATCTGCTGGCCTGTAGCTTTTGCTGCTTGGGCATCTCACTCTCCTGGGGTTGTTCCCTTTCAGAACCAGGTGGGCAGGACAGCATGTGGATGAGGTGTGTTGATGTGAACAAGAGTGAAGGCTGCTTGCCCAGTGGTTTTAGGACTAATTTGCCATAAGTGGGCCTCTTTTGTTTCCTTACTTTTTTTCTTCAACTTGTGATCCCAGTTGCCTCAAAGTATAAATCCAGTTGTCCTCTTAATTATCTCCTGGCTCAGTGGAATTCCATGTGACTTCCACGTAAAGACAGCTGGATCCAAACAGCTCAGCTTGTATGACTATTTTAAGATGACCGTCGTTTTACTGTTAATGATTAAAACAATAACTAGCAGTTCTTGGAGAGTAAATGTCCCACCGCTTTTTAAGAAATTGTTAAAAATTATTCATTACAACTACGACTTAGAATATTGAGCGTGAGTGGGGGATGACTCTGGAATAGGGAAGGAAGAAGGAGCTAGGGTGTCTGGTCCTGCCTTAAGGTACTATGCTTGTGATCTGGGGGTGTCTGCTGAGTAACTTTCAGGGTCAAGTTCTGGTGACCTATCTTCAAGCACATAAACAGGAAAGTGGGAATTTTCATGTCTAATGCATGCAGGTAAGTACTTATATTGCTCAAGTAAATGCAAAAATACTATAACTTTAAAAATCTAGTCTTTGCTCTTTTTTCCTGAAGCTGTTGGGCAAATAAATAATTTAATTGAGTACTTCATGAATAACTGTAGATGTGACACAGTATGTATATTATTTTGTTAATAGGACAAAGTAATTATTTTATTATGAATATTTTTAGATATCACAAAGTATTAGCACTCTTTCTTTTAAAGTTTTGTAAAACCCAAATAGAAGCATAGCTAGATTAATAGCAAATGCAAATATCTTCAACTTGCAAAGCCTGACTATAGCAAGTATGGCGTGTTATCGTCTTGATACCCAAGAACTAGCTAATGTTCGATGACCTCCCCTACCTCCAGATGTTTTTTTGTCTTCTTGTTGGCTGCCTCTTGGAGAAGTTTTGGTTGTGAATGCATGGCTCACAAACATTTTAAATTGCTTATCAAATCATAGACCAAAATTATATTTTTAGAATGTAATTTTAGAATTTCATTAAGCAGTGAACTCATTCATCATAAAACATCATGTATTGTTTATTTTAGAGAGAATGCTGAACAGCTCATATCCTTTGCTTAAAATAGATTTTTTTTCTCTCAAAGCAATTATCTTCTTTTCAGTCCAATTTTCTCTTCCCTGGTATTCATCAGGACTTCAGTTCCAATGAGCTTTTATTTTACTATGGTAATCATGAAATTACAGTACTATTTTTTTTTCCTCTCTGTCTCAAAGCTGTGGAGTTAAAAATGTTTTTGGTTAGATGCATATATATATTCAAGTATAGCAAAGTCTATATGTTTTGACTCTAAGTAACTGCTCAGAACAGGATACTGTGACTCCTGAATGTAAGAGGCAGTTAAGTAGTTAAGAACACAAATTTTTGGAACCAGATTCCCTTTTCAAATTCTGGTTCTGCTACTTCCTAGCACGTGACCTTGATCAAGTTACTATCTTTACACCTTAGTTTTCTTGCCTGTAAATTGGGGGGTAATAACAGTACTGACCTCATTGGATTAGTGTGACAGCTCACTGGTTGTCAAGCTCTGTGCCTGGCACAGAGTAAGTGTTGTACAGGCATTTTTATTATCATCCTGAAGTCTATTAATTTCCTATGAAATTTTAACAAACCTTGAAACAATTAATTCACATTCTAAGAATTTACTTCTATAGTTTTTAATAGGCAGCTAAGAATGACCCAGCTCTGTCCAGCGAGCCTACAGGCATTTCTGCAGTTCATGGATCATATGCTCTAAAGTTTTTTCGTCTTTTCTTTACTCTTTTACATGTTCATTAGCTCATTCAGTCTTTCTGTTTATTGAACACTTACTATGGTGTGTAAGTACCTGGTAAGGAACAAAAAAGGAAACATTCTCTGCCACCTGGCAGCTTCTATTCAATTCTCAGAACCAAGCAACAAATGATAACAGGACGTTTTTGTTATGACATCCTGGTCCTCTCCCACCCCAAGCATCATTTGGAAGCAAATGTCTGTTTTTTCCTTCACTAATATATTAAACAGCTTATTCAGTTTTTACTTTTAAAAAGATCACGATTCCCCTTTAAATATAAATAAGCAGTGTGGTAAAATTTGGTCTTAGAAATACATGTAGAGATGTGCCAACTCTCTTATTTAATTCTTTTTTTATTCCTTCCTGATGAAATTAATCTATCTTCTTATTAAAAAGGCTCCTCATTACTCATCCTTGAAGTTGGGAAATTCAACCTTAGTTGTAAACCTATCAGAGGTTATCAGAATGCTCACATGTGAGACTGCGGGGAGAGGGTGCAGCTGACCGGTGGTATATTAACAGTATGTGTTGAAATATCAGTTCCTTGTTGATTATATACAAAACACAAATTTCTGGTAGTTCCTAATGGCACTACTTCCTCTGTGGATTATGTAGCAAATGCTTTTGTCTGAATAATCATTCCCAGGAGGAGAGCCTTCAAAATAAGTTCACTTTATAGAGAGAGAGAGAGTATGTTGTGTATGTGTGTGTGCGTAAGAGAGAGAGAGAGAAAGGAAGAGAGAGACTGATTACTGGCTAATTCTGTATTGTGGGATGCAGAAGCACATATGCCTCCTGTAATTAAAGAACATAATTTGAAGGTAGCAACACTATCCAATTATATGAAATACTCTGTATGCTGTTGCTTGTCAACACATTGTTTAAAATAAACTAAGAGCAACAACGGGCAGTTAATCCAAGGGCTAAAGAAAACACTGGTAGGGGAACTAGGGTTTCATTGAAGAGAAAAAGGACCCTGGAAACTCTAATTGTCCAGATAGTTAAGGAAGAAACAACTGTCAGCCTCTGCATGGAACTATCTAGACCCAGTCAAGGCTAAGTCGGTTATTTCCCCTCAGTTATCTTGACACTGGCTACAAACTTTTCAACTTCATTTTGCGCTGGAGACATCTGTCCATTGAACTCTTAGCAGGGGCGAGATGACACATTCCTGGATCCTCTTTTGGGGCGTGGCTTCCAACCTGGCTGTGTGGCAGGTGGGATATGTATGTGGGATGTGTGTCTTTTTCAAATAAATTCCCCCCACCTTTGTAATTTAAAAAAAAATTTCTCCTGGTGATCCCAAATGTCTCAGAGCCCAGCCACACCCTTGCACCTCCCATCAGAGCCCACTTTTTAGGGACTGAATAGATTGTTTCTAAAAGATCCATTAGTGTTCTAGAAGAGTCGGTTAATTTCACGTAAGAATGCTTTCATCTTAATAGAAGTCTTTTTTTTTTTAATCAAGGTTGGCCCAGACCCAGAAAGACTAGAATCTGAACAAGCACAATTTTGTATGTGAGTGGTGGTGAATAAATTATGAAGAAAGGCTGAATGCTGGGTGTGGTGGCTGGGATGAGAAGAGCAGGTGTGGGGGTCAGCTTACCTTGGAAGTCAGGGTCATCTCTTAAAGAAGGACACATTCATGCAGACACACAGCCCGTATGAATAGGGGTCACCCTCCCCAGGGGGACATTAGGGCTGTCTGGCCCAGAAGCCCCTAGTGCAAGCATGCGATGCTTAAGACAGTGAATCCTCGGGCCAGCTTCCGTTGGCGTGTCAAAAAAGGACATCTTCAAACTGGCAAACTGATTTTGGGAAGATAGTCACCATTATAATGGTGTTGGTGAGATTTTTGTCAGGGCACTGGTCTAATGTGTTGATCAATAGTGTGTGTGGGGTGTGCATGTGTGCCCCTTCCTACTTTGTCTGTGGCTAGTATCTCTCAGTTCCTCTTCCTGCCAATTTGCACGTGTAATTAACAAGACAGTCCCAAGAACTAGTTCATTAAACACAGTTTTTTCCCATGAGCCTTAATCTTGGATGGGTCTTACCATTCATGGGACAGCATAAAGCCAGTAAAGTATCTCGAGGCATTCTCCGCCTGGGAGTCCAGGGTAGACGCGACCCTCCTCTGGTTTTGGAGACGAGAGGGTTAACGAGGCCAGGCTGTCAGTGACCAGAGGCGGCTCAGCGCTGGTTTCCTGTAGTGTGCTCCACTCCTCTCTCTGAAGGAAGGACCAGAGAGAGAAGGCTAAGATTTTCCTTCTTAACCTTACTCCTCTCAAAAACATAATGTTACAGGCATTTCTTTATGGTGAACTTACTTTAAGAACATTCAGGTGTATAAGCTGGTCAAGTCTGACCGGACTGGGTAAGTCATCAGCTGTGAGTGTAACACTCCGATGTAAAATACTGCCTGGAAATGGTCTCTCACTGTGACTTTCCCAGCAGCTGTGATAAACTTCTAAAGGCCTTTTTAATTTAAGAACACTTAACTGCAAAAGCCTGATTGACAAGAACCCTACGCTAGCAAATTGCTCTGCTCAACCCAACTGCTGCTGCTTCTCTTCAGGTTTTAAAACCTCTGTCCCAAATCACAATCTGTTCTTAAGGGCTTCGAAGAGTGACTACCTTACTGGGTCATGAGCAGAGGTCCCGGGAAGGGTCTGCCGGTTTGCCCGCCATCTTTCACAGGGTGAGCAGAGCTGCGCCCACTGATAACCCAGCTGCCGAGGAGCTGAGTAAAGCCGGCTCCAAACTTCTCAGCTGTTGACGGGCTGGACTTGCTGAGAACACTGGTTAAATATAGCACACGCGGGCTCTGCTCCTCAGCAAAGTCACTGCTCTGACAGCGCGAAGCGAGCAGGAGGCGAGACACGGAATCTCAGGGCCCAACAACACCTAGCAACAGTTGAAAAAACTTCCAAACAAAAGTCTGGGTGGGAGACACACACCGGCCTCCACTCTCCGCGGACTGGGACCTCAGGGAGAAGGAGCCTCTCTCCTCTCTCTCTGCTCCGTTTCCTGCATGACTTCAGCAATTGGCTGGTCCTAGGAAAGCAAGTGGGAAAAGCTTTTTCCTCTGAGTGCTTCTGGACTAGATAGTTTTCCAGGACTCCACTCTCTCCCGGGCTGTGGGACGAGCCACTGGGTTCTCCCAAGGATAAACTACCTCCATCAAGGACGTACCCTTGGTTAAACCAGCTGCCGTCAGGTAAGACTGAAATAAATAGCTGCTTACTCTTAAGAAATTGCTGCTTCCACATGAAGAGAGTTGTCTCTGATTCCATCTGTTTCTTTCGGCTCTTACTGTTCTACTATGTGAAGATGCATTTAGGAATTAGGATAATCATTGAGAATTATTTTTAATGAGTCAGAAACATCATCTGTTTTGCAGAATCATACCGATTCCTTTTTAAGCACAAAGATTGTTATGATGTTTTGATATCCATCAAAATATTTCTGCCAAGTTGCCATTCTTCAGCAGCTATCTGAAATACGGTGAAAGACAACTTTATAGGCTCTTTCACAATTAAGGTGGCTAACCAATGGAAGGGAGTTTTTCCCCAGAAGCAAAATAATTTTCATTTGCTGGAACAAGCTGAGCAGCTTGTGTGGTAAAGGAGAGGCAAGCTTTGCATGGTGTTTGCCTTGCTGTCCTTCTGACTTGCCCGTCTCTGCTTCTCTCCTTGCCTTATTCTCTGATTACCTGGTACACCTTGGGCTGGCTCTGACCTCATTACGTTAGGGTCACCCCAAGTGCTTCTGACTAGGCACAGATATGCCTGGTATTAAATCACTGCTTTTGCAGTTGCTGAAGGTATACTATTCAGGAGGATGTTTAGTTTAGTTATTTTTTTAAATAAATTGAGAGAGTGCTTGTATATAGAAAAAACGGATCCTGATTTTTAAAACTAAAATTGAATTTATCAGGAAAAAAATCCTAAGATTGCATGTGTGTGTGTGACTGCGTAATATAGTGTGAAGAGAAAACTCATTTCCTTTGTTGTGTATGGTCTCCCCTGCCATGCGTTGCCATGTGTTTTATCAGAATTGTTTAGAGTGATCAGTTTCTCGTTGACTCTGACAAGTTCTGGCTGTGTCATGGTGCTGTGCTGCATACTGACAGGTGGTGTCTGCAGCAGGGCTGGGTTTACCTGAGAAGTCTGATCCTTTAAGTCAATGTGATAATTTCAGTCAATATTATAACCTAAGGGTAATATCAAGGCAGATACAGATGCACATTTTAAAGGGAATTAGTTGAGTCTATTTGTCAACTTAAAGAAAAAGTTGAGCCAAGACCAGTTTTGAACAAACTGGTGACAAACAAGAATGTATTAATAAATACTTCCATTTTTCCTATTTACCTTTCAGTAAATGTTCCTATTTTAAGAAAAACTAATTAAAGCTTATGTGATATGTTCAGGAAAATGAAATAATGGATACATTTCAGTATAGTGGCTCATAATTCTGATCCCATGATTCATCTATAAAGAAATGGAGCTAATCATATATATTAAATGTTCCAAGTATTGTGCAAAATGCAGTCTGGTAATCTCGGTGTCAGAGAATGAAACTCCTGGTGTTTTTGTGGAGATGATCTTTGTCCTGGAAGAGTTTTGAACAGTCAGAACTGAATGCTTTACATTTTTCTTGTTTTTATCTTAGGAAGGGTCACATTGTTGGCTTACAGATCTGTGTGTGAGGCCAAAGTCTACCATTACCTCCAGGCCTGGACTTCTCTCTTGGAGTCCGTGGAACGGTGTGTAGGTGGCCGTGTTTCTGGTGAACTGGTTGTTGAGTCTCATTGTCTTCATGGCTGTACGTTTACCCTGCAGAAGCAAACAGAGCTCGGGCCAGACCACGTGCCCTCCTCCCGCGGTGAACGGTCGCACGGTGCCGCCCGCGCGGTTCGTACCTCCGTGTGGCCCTGGGGCCCTGGCTCCGCGCTCACGGGGAGAGTGGTGAGCTTCCACCGCCCTGCACGCGGGGACCTGTTCCCTCCACCCTCCATCCGGACTGTGTCAGGGCTGCTCCCCCGCCGTCCCTCACTGCTGCCCGGGCCGCTCTGCCTGTGGCCCCGGGCTAATGTCCCTAAACCCTTGCTGTGCTTGTCTCTCTACCCTCCAGTTATCTATTGGGACTCACAGTTGCTGCCAAGCACCTCGGCCAGGTATTTTGAAACCCTCCATCACCTGGTACATGCTTAACTTTTCCAGTCTCAGCTCCCACCAGTCAACAAGTGTCCGTCTGCTCCAGATATTTCAGAGTTTGGGCCTTTCTCCAAACACACACCCAGTGCGTCTCTGAGCGCTCCACCTCTGCTCGCCTCTCCTTCCTGTCCCCCACCCGCACCGCTGCCTGGACCACCTCTCCTCTCCTCTCCTGCAGAGACCTCGCCCACTCTATAAACCAGCCCGTATCTTCCACTTTCCCAGGGGTCCCTCAGGCCGTACCTTTTAGAAGCAGTTCCTTAGTGTAGACTCTTACTAAAATCAGGGGCTTTGGAGCAGGGTTTTTTTTCTTTAAATTCAGAACAATTTTACGAAGGGGACTGAGTGTGAAGCGTTGTCCTGAGCATCACCTGGCTTGGGGCTTGTCAGCCCCACATGCTGCAGATGTTTAATTAACATTTTTGGTTCTAGATTTCTGATGATGAATGTGTGAGAAAATATAGATGAGTATAAAATCAAGAAAACAACTGTAAGTGTGGTTAATAGCATTTTATCTCAAAAATTTCTCAAAGGAAGTCTCCATAGTTTCACAGTGTACAGAAAAGTTACAAGTCATTGTAATTAGACTCAGGGACCTGCTGGTGGTGACGGCATCCCTGCGAGGGGTGACGTGGGGGAGGGGATGTGAAAAACGGGCGTCCTGTGGACACACTGGAACTCAAGTGCTTCGATCGTGTTTTGGTGCCATGTGCTGATTCATAGTCACCTCGGTGCGTCTGTCACGGTCATGCTCCTCCTGTTTGTGGGTCATCCTGGGTCAGACTCTGGTCTTGAACATTAAACTATTTCAATTTCATGTTATGATCCCTTCTTTTCCTTTTTCTCTAGGTATTTAAAAAAGAGACATTTCTCAGTTTTATTTTTAATCCCTCTTGAAACCTATAGCCTTACTGTATGAGATAAAGCAGGAATCATGATTTTGAAGCAATCTTTTTTGTGCCCACCAAAAAGCATTCTTTTTAGTATTTTAAGACTGCCAAGGAGGTTAAAATTGCTCTTCTAAATGGGTGTTCAGCGAGAATCCATATGGGACTTTCCCAGGGCAACTTGTGAAATTTTTATGTTCATCTAGCAATGGTTTTCCTGTGGTCATAATGTGAACCTATCTCTTAGACATGAAACGGTGGTAAAATGTGCATTCTAAGCTAATGCTAATTGTGTTTTTCTTTTTTGAAAGATGAGTATTTCTTCATAAAATACCCTAATAAATAGGATTTTCCAGGGCTTGTTTCATCCCCATTTTCACTCATTTGTCTCATCTCATTTCCCTAACCATGTGGACTGTAGAAAAGCAGCGTCCTGGGGCAGAGAGGGGCAAGCCTAGGATAGGGCCTGCTTCAGCACGAAAAGATGGTACCCACTCGTCAGGAAGATGGCATCTCAAAGCCGGCATCCTGCACTGTTTACATTAATTATCTTTAGTGTAAGTAGCGATAGAATAAAAGACAAATGCGGAGTAAACAGCCCAGTGCGTCTTGTTTCCTTAAGTCAGCTGAAGACACCCAGCAAGGATGTGTCCCGGGGTGGAGGAGGCAGGGAGGGCTGCGGCGCAGGCGGTTTCGGATGGCAGTTTTCTGTGACCTGGGCAGGTGACTCTCCGTGCGTCAGTTCTGTCATCTGTAGAGTGAGGGCAATGACGCTATCTTCTTTAATAAGATAAAATGAGTTAATAAGACACACAGTTGCCTTCTCAGCAAATGTAGGCTAGTATCACTTTATTAGCACACCTTAAATGTAAGTATATGTTCATTTTAATCTTCGTTGCACACCAAATTCTTGGATGCTGACAGTCTGTGAACTCCGATCATAGCTCATAGGAAAGGCAGAAGAATGTATTGTTTAAATCTGGAATCCCGTTAGGGACCCGCTTTGCTGCTGGGCGCTGTAAGCGGACCTAGTTTGAACCCCAGCCAATAATTTAGTGGGGAATTTATGTTTCATTCCCTCCCTTACCACTCAGCAGTCTACTATCTTACAGAGTCATTCTAAAAAAGCTAAGAAATCACCCACAACATAGACTCTTCTACGGTTTCTACATTTGCATTTGGAGATAAAAGTGTGTTTACAGATAGTGCTTGACTGTCTCTGACAGCCGACTGCAGAGGGTGACCTAGAGCGACGGACACTTCCTCCTGCATGGGGGGATGAGTTATTAGATTCATTGTTCTTTATTTCTTCCCTTAGATGTTTTGTTTTACTAACCTAGTAACAGATAAAAGTGAAAAGACCAAAAAAGGTCATCTCATGCTAGCTTCAACCTTACCCAGTGGAAATGAATCCCTGCTATTCATGCCTTAATCCTCTTCATTCTTCTTAAACATGACAAGAAAGTATTTTCCAGGGCAAACAAAAAAATGTGTTATATCATGAAGATGTGTGTATGTTATGGGACCCTTAATGTTCTGTATCTCTAACTTAACAAAAACATAGGGAACACTCAGGGAAGTTTCTTAGTAGCTTGGTGCCCACAAACTGTATGTAGGGTAGACGTGTCCATTTTGCTGAATTTTTCTTAATTGAAAAGATGAGTCTCTAAAAGATAAGGCAGTCTGAGTTTTAGAATTGTCATTCCCTAGTGAAAACCTTCCTGTAGGAAGAAAAAAGAAAGAAGGAAAGAAAGAGAGAAAGGAAGGAAGAGAAGAAAGAAAATAAGGAGAGAACATTTTGTGGTTCCAGATCAAAACCTTTGACCTCAGGAAAATATCCTGGATTATGTTCTTTCTCCTTAAATAGTCCTGATCTTTAGCTCATCAGAGGAGGGGAAAGCCCGCAGGCAGAATGCTGCCCTCCCGGAGGCAGGAGCTGAGGCCGGAGCTCGGGGCCAGGCCAGGCAGGCCCGGTGGGGCGGCCCCGGCGGGCGGCCGCCGGTGAGCGCAGAGCCGAGCTGCTCGCAGCGGAGACGGAGACGCGGCCTCCCCCAGCGCCCGCCCGGAGCGCTGTGCACGGCGCAGGGCGCCCCAGGGCGCGAAGGACGTCGGCCTCGCTTCTCCTGTTGGCGAAGCGGCGTCCGCGCGGGTAGTGGTGGGCGACTGCGTGTTTCTGAGGTCTAAGAAAGACCGAATGGAGGCATTTTTAAAACAAATGAAGAATGTATCTAAGCCATCTGACTTTATTTGAGCCCTTAAAGTTCAGGGATTTTTTCCTGCTTTTTCTTCTTGCTTAAGAGCTGTCACCTGCTTCCTTCACCGCAACAAATGTCTGTCCTAGAAAGAGGCTTAATTTTTTTTTGGTTTTGCAATAATGGTAACTACAAACTTCCCAAGTTGCTTTGAAGAAATGAATTATCTACTGCTCATTTTTGTAAGGAAAAGGTGTAAGGAAAGCCCTGAAATGGACATGTCGGAGTTGGCTGAATGCATTCTTAGATAAACGATTTGCTCAAGATTTAAAGCCCCAAAGACAATTTGATTGAAAACAGTAGACCGCTAATATCACCAAGACAATTAAGTTTCTGCCAGCTTGTCTTGTGTATCCAAAAGATCTTTGCTGAAATAAGTTTTCCCCATACACACCCACGGCACAGGTGCAGTAAGACGGACAAACAGGCTCGGTTTTTCCTTGTTCCTCCCCGACACGTCCAGGAACCCGACGCGGGGCCTGCAGGAAGGGAGGAGCCACTGCCGTGCTCGAAATGCTATCGCAGGGGGGCGGCCTGGGTACGAGAAAATGCCCCTGGGCCTGTATTTGTGGCTTTGCGGTCACTGTGACCCGGCCCACACTGATGCAAGACAGAGGTGGCGTGCGTGCCAGGGTGAGCCAGGGAGAGTTCTCCCAACTACTCTGTAAGTCTTGCAACGTGACACTGGAGGCTCTTTGCGGTTCATTGACCCTTTAGTAAGTGACACCTGCTCGGAGAGAGCCTGGGGTTTGGGCTCAGGAGGGGCCTCACAGAGGCTTTAACTCCCACGTGCGGTCTCGGTCAGGCAGCACCGCCTGGTCGGACGCCACCAAGCTGACTGCCCCGTGGTTGTTCATTCTGGTCCTTAAGGAAGCCGGCTGCGTGGGTGGGATCCACTTCTCGGGGGCCCCTCAGCGTTGGGGAGCATCCTCCCCTGCTATATGCTGCTCATTCCATAGGCCACGGCCCAGCATACCAGGTGTCCCCACCAATGACTGGGACATATGAGCCACAATCTTGCATAATGATATGACAGATAATATAATGATAGCAGCTATATGTAATATGCATTGTCTATACACAGTATGTATTGTGGAGCTAGAAATAATTATTTAGTGTATGTAAATGATGATAATAGCTAGTATGTACTGGAGATGACCATGAGGCAGGCATTGTGCCAAGCACTTCACCTGGATGATTTTATTTACTTCTCATAATAACCATGCAGGGCACTATCTTTATCTTTGTTTCATGCATTAGAAAAACGAGGCTTATAGATGGTAAGTAACTTGCCCAGCGGTAGATTTGGCATTCCAGCCCTGGCAATTAGACCTTATTTAGCCCATATTTTCAACCACTTCCTTGTAATGTAGGCAGTTGTTGAAGGAAGACTTCCACCTAGATGACAGCTGAGTGTCTTAGTGAAGATGGAGAATGTGCCACTGCAGGAGGTCAGCTGCCCCTGCCGTCTGAAAAGATTCACTAAGAGTGAAGGACAAAGAGATTCAAGGTCAAAGCCCAGCTGGACTCCCGTCTAGGGTCCCCAGGCGGGGCCAAAGCTTCAGGCCCCGGCCCTGGGTGATGCAGGAAGCCAGGCCTGGGGCGCTGGAGTGCAGATGCCGCTCTCCCAGTCACGGGCGAGGCAGTGCGGCTCTTGGCCCCCTCACTGCAGGGTGGCCTCCCTTGGGGTGGGCGCTGTGAGGCGCTTGCTTCTCTGAGCTGTTCTGGCCACTGTGGTGGCCAGACCCTCTGATGCCATCAGGATTTGGTCTTTTTGTTGCTCCAGTGGATACTCAGAACCTCACCTTTGCTGTAACATTTGAAATGCTCCACAGATCTCTGCCTTATTCATGAGCACACGGTTAAGTGGGTTCAAGAAGGAGTCCTATAAAGCACTTATTCCAGCTGTTGGCAGCAGCATTCCTTGAAGAAGCTCTTGGTAACGTGTGTATACTGGTCGGAGGAGGCAGGAAAGGAAGGGATGGAAAGTCTCGTTCCACATGAGAGCTCTTGGCTCCTAAAAATGTTGTTTAGCTCTTACTTCTCCCAAAACATTGTTTAAGTCACAGGCTGTCAACCTGGCAGCTTGTTCCTTCAGAAGAAACCAAAGAGCTTGCTATAGTTTACAGAAAATTACCTGCTGTGTTTTCAGCCCACGGTTTGCTACTGTGGAGGAATGGTATAGGAAATTTTATTGGCTAGTTTATTTAATTCTTTTATCTTTATTAACCAAGAGTTACCTTCTTTAATGATGCTAAGTGTCTATGTGGACATAATTGGAATTTTTAAGTTTCTATTTACATGCATGGCATTTAACTTTCGGATTGTCTGAAGTAAAAGGAGAGCAGTTGTAATACAGTTTTGATGGAGCAGATAAATGCTTTTTTCCCCATATGCCAGTATGCGTAAGTATTCCATGGTTCAGCTATTCTGGGTGGTGCCATTGAGCATCCCGGCCATGAGTTTCATGTGAAGCGAACAGGTAGCAGAATGAATTGCTACCCTCTGAGAAATTCTAGTCTGTGAATTGTAAACAGTATTTTGCCACAACTGAACTAGCGCACCCCAACCCCCACACCAATACATCCCCAACACACACATACACACTCATTTCTGGCCAGTGTGCAGGGCTTACATATACTACTACTACAGTATTATTCAATAGGTTAAGCACCTTCTGGAGGCAAATACAGTTGTGCTCTGTGGCATAGACCTATTTATCTGAATACTTCATTTCTTCAAGGTCCTCTGTTTCATTCACATGATCTCTCCTGATTTGTGTACAACAAATAAACTCAGAATTTCTCTTTTGTTCTCTCCCATCTTTAGGTATCTTCAGGTAAAAAGGTTTAACAGTGTCAAAGAAGGAAGGGATTAGTGTTACAGTATCAAATCATGTTACAGGTAGGATTAGTGTTACACTGTAGGATTAAGTGTGTGGAATTAGTGTTACAGTGTGGGATTAGTGTTACAGTGTAGGATTAGTGTTACACTGTATGAT